ACAAATCATAAACAACTTTCTTCTCTTATATTCAGCAGTTAAATAAACTCTTTCTGACCACCATGACTTTCCGGCTTTCTCTTCGGGTCATGATAGTCAGAGATAATGTGTGTTCAAATAAGTAAAAAACATAATGAAGTCAAAATCATTTTCCGGAAGATAGGCTCATCTTGTTCAAACTTTCTTATAAGACAGCGATCAGTGAAACATAATCTCATAAAACAATTAATACATAAATGTTTTGTAACTTAATAGAATTTTGGAAACAAGGCTATTAACAATCAGTAAATATGAGTATTGAATGGAATCCATAGGCTTTACTACCCTTATGCGGTGACATTGACAGCTTTATATCTTGAAAACTACAAGGGATCTGTTTCTAAAATACAGACTAGTATACAGCACAGATTGTGTACTTCAGATTAGTGCAAAAAGTGAAAAAGGAGCCTCTCTAATTCGTTCGGTTTTAATTAACGAAGTTGACAGAATACGGAATAAATTACAACTAGGGCACATTCGATAATTTTTTCGTTTTCTTACTTTGTTCGATAAACAGAAAAATTGTTCTCTTCTGAATGTTCTGTGCTCATATAACAAAAAAGAACCAGAACTAAGAATAGTATGATCAAAGAGTATAAAATAAAAACAGCATCTGCCTTTTTAAAGTCAAAGAGAAGAACAATTGAAAGATAATACCTGGTTACTCGATATCATCATTATCATCAATCATTTTCGCGTAATTTAAAATTGGTAACATTTTCTAATGAAACTGGAAAGCATATATTTTGCCAATTTTAAGCCGCAATATTGACAGGCTAATATTTCAAAAACTAAGAAGAAACTTTTTCTGCAAAATAGATCAATATTTAATACAACTCGTACACTTCAAATTGACACAAAAAGTGCAGACGGGTACTCTTTTATTATTTTTATTTTAATTCTCGATGTTGGCAGAATAAGGACTAGATTCATAGTAAGCACCGCTTCTTCCCAAAATCGAATAAATGATGTCTGAATAAAAAACCATCAAATTTTTATAGTATAAAAAAAGAGTAAGTTGTTTGGAAAATTCAAATTAAAAAGCAATTAAAAATTATAAGTTTGACTACTGTCTACTGTATAACAATCTATTATACTTCGATTTGATCTATTAGTAGTAATAGGTAATCTATTAACTTCCTCTATTAATATGTTTTATATTCACCTACGTTACAGAGAATACAAAAGAAGAAACAGAAATTTTGTTAAGCAACGGGTCACCTAAACAGCGATAAGTCTCTTGTCAGTAGGATACGCACAATAGCAACTGCCATCGCGAGAGAATTCCCCCGTCAGAAACCTATATCTGAAAGTAAAGTCCGATCTTGACCAAACGTTTGAGAGATGCTGACCTTGTAAAAGTATGGTGACGAAATTTTTTGGTTTGTGAGATGTCGTCACAATAGTGACCAAAAGAGGACTATTCGTAACTGCAAGATTTCTTAGTAACGAAAGGTTATGGAGAGCTCGGGCTGATCTTAAGTTGACAAAAACACATGTGACTAGAGACTAACAGAGCCTTATTTTTGATATTTTACTTTTCAAATTAATGGTCAGCGTCAAAAGTCCAAAATTCGGAAAAGTTCTCATGGTGCTTTCTGCTCGAATTGATAGGTGGACACTTTGCCATTTCTGTCATGCTTAGAATACAGTATAAGTAAGCGAAGTTCTGACCTAAACCTTATCGAAAATTTCGAAAAGATACCTGAGTAGTGGGGTTCAGTATCTTCTAGCGTTCAAGAAAAAAATTTAACGCCATGTTGTCATGCTGCTCTCTCGTCATATTAGAACCGAAGTAAACTGAGGTTATCATATACAACGTGGCTCATCTTCGGTAGGACGATCTAAATATGCGCAAATTAATATTTGACGCCTTGCTCGACACTTTTTTCTTACGAGGGAACCTCTTGAGGTGATAAATCGCTTTTTGACTCCGACTATTCTCATCATGTAGGGAATAGTGAGTAATGAAAAACCCCAAGTTGGTGTGTGCCCATGCGCCTTTTTGACCGAGATACGAGTTAATTACTGAAAATATGATTAATAATAATTAATCAATAACTCACGATCTTGGTTAGTTAGAATGTGAAACTTTCACCATTTGTGGGAATAGGTATTGCCTATTCACTGTGAGAATCTTAGGCTTATAAATTAAACATTTCACAAGATATGAACTTTTTACGGTTTACGCAGTTTTTAGTGAAAATTCACCATGAAAAGCCCAAAAAATTGTTCTCATCTTTTCAATGCCTTTATTGGCTCAGTAACAGTTTATTTCATCTAGATATTGGTCGCTAAGAGCCACTGAGGATCAGTAACAAGAGAAGAGGCTTTAAAACGCACGAACAATGTTTTGGGTTTTTCATGATGAATTTTCACTAAAAACTCCGTAAAAAGTTCATATCTTGTGAAATGTTTGATTTATAAGCCTGAGATTCTCATAGTGAACAGGCAATATCTATTCCCACAAATGGCGAAAGTTTCACACTTCTAACTAATCAAGATCGTGAGTTATTGATTAATTATTATTAATGACATTTTCAGTAATTAACTCGTATCTCGGTCAGAGAGGCACATGGGCACAGCGGCGTAACCATAATTTTTAGACCAATGGGCAAACTTCTGTTGCGTCGGAAGAAAACGATGGGCAAGGTCTTTATTGACGGGCCAAAAAATTTTTGGCCCAACAAAGTATAGGCGGGCAGGGACATATTTTTTAGGAAGGGCAAGAAACTTCTTGCGTTTATTTTTTCGTTGAATAGATGACCGTCATGACTGTAAATAGACTATCAAAATATTTTCATTTTCTTGTTGAATTTTAGATTTTTCTTATTAATCGTTTTCAGTTCTCTACTTTCATTTTCTTTCAAAGATCTCTTGAACACCAAAATAACACGGCCTCTCTCTTTAATGCACTAGACATCATAAGACTATAGCAAGGCATATTTCTCGTTGCTCCATTGTCGACATTTGTTTCTTTCTTTCTTCGCGTCAGCTTCGGCGCTTCAACACATTCTCGATGCACTCGATAGCACAGGTCATACTCTGTCGCACTAAGAGAACGAAAAGAACGATGTAAACAATGACAATGCATGTTTTCTCCGTTTTAATGATGGTGACTGCCGTATATAAAGCATTGAACGATGTATATTTTCTATTCTTGTTTTAGAAATTTTCTCTCAGTTATTCTATAGGAAAAAATCAAATTACTTTCCAATGGCATCAACAAAACAACAACAGCGGGTCATACTTGTCACTGGCGCTAATAAAGGTCTTGGATTTGAAGTGGTCAAAAAACTTCTCAAAGACGGATCATCTTCGAAGAATGATTTGATGATGCAACTAAGATGCATAGTGTTAACAGAAGTAGAAGATAAATACGATTCATGTTGAAATAGGAATGACTTGTCAATAGAATGTAAACTTCGAGTTTAAGTACAAACAAAAAACAACAACCTTTTTATCTCGTCATCTTAAATTTCATACGAAAACTGGTTTTGATAGCATGTAGACAGGCACAAATCGAATTCATACCTTCAGTGGTAAATATCAATTACAATTGGTTTGAATTGATAAAACAACTCTATGTATAATTCTTATTGGATGAAAATGTTAAGTATCATGGGAACTGATGATGAAAGATGTTAATCATCAAATATTCCAACAACTGTGAAGGGAAAGTACGTTCACTCAAAATAGTCTTTGGCTTCCATAACATGTTTGTTACCACTCTGTCGGCAGGATAGCAGAAGATGTTCGAAGTGCTACTCCTAATGTCAACACTTCTTATTGCTTGCATTTCGCACAACACCTCGTTCTTTTTTGAAGAAAGGATTATGAAACCTTTGAGTGTAAAGAACCACTTGTTTTCAGAAGAAAGCTCCTTATTTTTCTAAAACTCACTGGACAACTTTGATACTAATATGACAATAGCTAATCCCCATTACTAAATAAAAAGACTTTTCAATTTTATTCATATGCTTGTGGTATTAATTTGAAATAAAATCGTGAAATAGTGACTATCAATGAATTTGTAAGGAAAAAGGTGAAAGCAAGAAAAAAATCGTCAAGGAAAAATGATTCCTGTCCCCCCTTAGTCGAGAGCCCTGCGGCACGAAAGATATTGTAAATGACTAAGAAAGGTAATCGAGGACGCTTTGACATACTTCAATGGCTATGCCATAGATTATTCCATTAGTAAGCACATATGGTAAATAGCAGACAAATCTCGAAATTCATATTGTAACTATCAGAAACGTTTGACATTTCTCGTATCGCCAAAATAAAGAATTGGGATGAATGATGACGATATATCGATAGAGTGCCGCCAAAAAACAAGAATGATTTCGAAGAAAAACAACAACATAACTGAAGTAACTCCGCAAAACACACTATGAATTTTCAGAATGACTTTGTCGAACGTTACCTTTTAACAATAATATTCAAGAAAGTGGTATCCGCAGTGTACATGACAATTTGTTCGTCGCAAAAAGTTGCATCGAATGGTCTGTAAAAGTTTTCTTCAAAACTGTATTGTTTCGTTTGTTGTTACGCATTGCACAGATGATAAAACATTTTAGTAATACAGCTAATTCAACAAATTTCCATTTATATAAGTTTGTGAAGAAAAGAAAGATCACACTTGAAAGGGCAACAGGTGCGAGGAGGTATAGGTGCACAGAAAGAGTGCCAGAGTCAATCGAGTTTTTTAGTACTGTTTTGTATATGAAAAATATTACTGGCGAAAACGCCCTGCTGCTACCGTGATCTGTGTTGGTCCTGCTCCATTGTGTGTCCTAATCGGTTGTTGAACAACTGTGTTACAATCATTTGGTTTGAGTAGTAGGTTTTCGTGTAGTATTATGTTTGTTTTTTAAAATAAAGACATACTTTGACTCTGTTTCTGACTCTGTCAATTAGTCTACGAATATCAAGTTCACTTCCGAACCTAACAAAAAAAGTTATCGACCAATGAAACGCAGCTCTATAAAACGAAAAAGCGGGTAAATAATAGCAGTAAAAGCAAAGGCCATTTCAAAGCCAACATCAGCACCAACAAAAGAGTTATTGTGGTCTGTTACTCCAACAACCTTTCCAATTGGACCGACAAAGTGCGTCTGAGACATTCCAAGTACAGCACCACAAACACCAATTAGACCAGCACCAATAGCAGCAAAAGAAATTGGCAATGCTTTACGATTATTCCATACACTAAAATCATAATTCTTGAATGAACAACGTTTAAATAGAATATGTTCTTCGAAAACAACAGCAATAAAAATTGCAAGCCAATAGGAAAGAACGTCCATAAAAGTAGTCAGAGATTCGTTGAATTTAGCAGCGCCAACAATAGCTATGGGAATGTAGATTGCAGTGGCAACAATTGTATAGATAAATCGTGGAATACGAGAGAAAACGGGTGCTATGACTTGTGCTGAGAGTGAAAGTGAATACGTATTCGGAATATTATTGGCAACGATTGAAAGAGCAAAGAGAATGAGTAGAAACTTGCCGAAACCGTGTACAGATGAGAGACTAGCACCAATGAGACCACCGATACTGTTAGAATTGTAAGCGCTAGCCCAGGCACTATTTGTGTAGGTGCCAGTGTAAACAGCTGCACCAAGAAATTCTATAAGCATAAGTGGAATAATATTACCAAGGTAAGTGAGTGTAAAGACTTTAGTTGAACTCGTGTCCTCTGGAAAGTAGGCATTGTAATCAGCTGCCAGTGAAGTCCAAGCAACAGCAAAACCAAAGACCGTTCCACCAAAACTGAGAACGTTGGCAGCTTCTATCCGTCCACTTTTCATTGCTGCTTGGCCAGAATTGGTAAAATTCTTTGCACCAACTCCGGCCATAATACAGAAAGCAATGAAAACTGGAATCCATGAATATCGTTCGTAAATGTGTATCCACTTATAACCGGCAAATGAGAGTACTAAAGTGCAAATGGCAATAATAATAACACCGACAGCGACTGGAAGTGTATTATTGGAGACAACTCGAAGTGTTTGTCCACCAGTTATACAATTGACTGCAGACCATCCTATGGCAGCAATACAATTGAGAGAAGCAGCAAGACTAGCTCCATAATAACCCCAACTAAAACGGGAAAAAGCCATTGTTCTTAAGCCTGAGGCAGGACCAGCACAGGCCATTGCAGCTACAGGAAGTGCACCAAGTAAGTTGAAGAAGGTAACAGTTGCAAATGAATCATACAAACCAAGATTGAATACGGCAGGACCAAGAGTACCAATGGCAAAGCAAGAAATGAACGTATTTGCAGCAACCTAGAAGGATCAGTGATTAGATCATCTGTACGAGCGACACAATACATTCTTACCCAGATCATAGCTGTATTAATCAGCTTCGAGTCAGTACGTTCCTCGGGCGTAATACGTGCTATACCACGTGCTTCTAAACCAACACTATCAAGTTTGTTGAGAATCTTTGAAAAACGAGCCCATCGTCCGGTTGACGAAACTAGTGTGCTATCAGTAGGAGCGTAGATATTGGTCGATGATAGCGATGCGGAGCGTGTAGTTGCCATCAAAAGGTCCGCAATTTTAACGATAAAATGTTCTGCAGAATGACAGCAATAAACGTAGAAGGTAAGGTATTTATATTCACAGTGTGTGGTAGATTGTAGGACTGAAACGAGACTTTTTCGTGATATGTTAACGCTTAGAAGATGATAGTTTTTTCATACTTTAATAATTTGAAATAGCTGGTGTCGGCCATCTTTCTGCTCTTTAATTGAATACTAATAACTCAGTATAGAATGAGTGGAAAAGAAGTATGAAACTGTGTTAGTGAATATAGCAGAGGAAAAAATTAATGATGCATGACAAATGTGCTGCATCGATTCATGACGTAATAAGCCAGAAGAACACTATGTGTTTTTTAGGTGATTGTCGGGTTACTGGTCCTTTTGGTTAGGCATGTCGCTCACGCATCATCAAAGGTAATTATGCGTGTGTAATATCATCCATTTATGACCGTGGTAAGCCATAAGGAACACATATCTATTTTTTACGTGGTTATTGCTGTTTAGTTACCGCTCCTTTTAATTCGTTACGTCGCTCATTTGAATCACGTCTTACTATCTGTACCAAAATATAATGGACTCCGATATTTCGCTTATAACTTTTTAACGGTGAATGCTACAGACTTGCGGTTTTCAGTTTCTGAAACTAGACACTGGGGCACATAGATCTGTGAAAAAATCATGGCGTTCGATCAGGTTTACCATGGTGTACACTCAAAACAAGTCACAGATACAAGATCGAGCCGAAAGAATGGTTTGAAAGTTTGCTGACCTGCTCAGGTTTTGGAGGCGGTTTCTGGAAAACCTTCCTTGTAACGGTAGTTTACAACCGATTCTTTCGGCTCGATCTTGTATCTATGACTTGTTTTGAGTGTATCCTGAAAATCTGAGTCAATTTGGACTAAAAATGGCCGAATTATAAAACTTTGAATCTACCACGGTCAAAGGCTAAAAAGCGAATTTTCAAAATATTTTATTTTCCGACCTTATTTTCGTTTCCATATTGAAACAAAGATTGCCAGCGTAATCAGCGTGCTCGATTACCTATGATTCACATGTTTCTGAGATTTCCAGACGTGTCGGGAAGGAGACAAATGTGCCCTCGGAAAACACCTGTATCTCCGGAACCAAAGAAGATGAAGACCTGGGCCTTGCGTAGTTTTGAAGAGAAATGTTTCGGCTATCAAATGGTATTATAGGAGATTGTATTTCATAGTGCTGTTTAGGAACGGTAAGCTTTCGGATTTTGCCTCGAATGGTACACCATGGTAAACCTGATCGAACGCCATGATTTTTTCACAGATCTACGTGCCCCAATGTCTAGTTTCAGAAACTGAAAACCGCAAGTCTGTAGCATTCACCGTTAAAAAGTTATAAGCGAAATATCGGAGTCCATTATATTTTGATACAGATAGTAGTCATAATCACCTTCAGTTCATGAGGTCGTAGTTAAGTGATTGCGATGTGTTTTTAGAGCTGGGTCTATAGAGAGGTTACGGAGGGGTTTGAGGTTTAAAACTTTTTGCGGTTCGATATATGGCGTGATAATATTTGTTTGCCATGTGCTAAAAATCTCCACTAGATCATCAATTGTTTGCTCTAAAGATGGGTCTTGAGAGTTAAGGTCTCTAGAGGTGGCAGCAGGGGTGGAAGTCAATGTTTCCGACAAGCCATAGAATAAGTTAAAAATTGTATTATATTCAGTTCTAAAGCTCTAGCGCAATATTTTCATTTTTGTAATGGTTAATAACTTCTGTGGCGAGTACACATGTAAATATTTTTCGATCTTGGACGCGTTTTATACTGCGGTTAATCGCTCCGAAAATGTACCATTTGATAGCGTTTAAACGCGTTTTATCTTTTTTTTTAAAATATGCTTTTAAAAAGTTTTTTTACGCGTCTTCTTAATTCCTAGCTAAGGTTTCATGATCTATCAGCCAGTAGAGTGTGCGCCTGTTACAGGACCTTGTCCTTTCACACAGCGTGTGATTTTGTTAGTTTCTGTTTTTTCATTTTCGTTTGGGTCACGTTTTATACAAGTGATCTTTTTTTCCGTTCTTCACCATTGTGCAAGTTTTTTCCTTTTCTATCGTCCGGTTTTTCAATGATCATAGAACATGTGATCATTGTGTCCTTTGTTCGTTTTGTGTCTATAGCAAGATATATATACATACATACATATATATAGTTATGCACTCTGGTGTTTTTTCAGTCAGTCGTCGGCATTTCTTCGTATCGTTTAGATTATTGAGTTTTATTCACTTTATTGTTTAGTATTATTCTACTTCTGAATAAATATAAAGAGATTAGTTCGGCATTTATTTCAAGCATATAGGAACACTCTGATATTTGGCGATCTCGCTATTTCTCTTTCAGTTGGCGATTCTATTAGTTTTCAACCAACATTAACATCGTAAGAGAAAGAAGAACCGGGAATTAAGCACATCAATTTAGATCAAATTACATCAATCTCAAGAGATGAGGAGCCGGCCGTAAGGCAGACTCATTACGTTTCTCGAATTAAAAGTAATCACGTTGTGGTAAGAGAATTTCCTTTCAAACTTCGGCTACAGGACTTAGAGAAAAAGCCAAGGAAACATAACAGTGCAAACATGTCGAAGTTTCCTGCCACTATTGACTCTTGTCGAAGCAATTAAGCAACCATTTTCCTTCAATCTACCGTGCTCGACCGGAAATCGAACGTTTCGCGAGCTTTTGTGATCGTTTTATGGAGATTTTTCGAAAGGAAAATCATTTAAGTTTCATTTTGGATCTTTCGTAAGGAAGATCGTTTATTTTTAATTCTGACTTGTGGCGACAAATTTTTTTGGTTTTTGTTGAACGCTCATAATGAGCACGAATTTTTGCAAATGTCTATAACGTCTTAAAAATCGTCTCTCGATACAAGTAGTATCTCGATAAACTCAAATAAGCATTTTTTCGTGGAAAATAATTCGACACGGCCGAAGGAACAAGATTAAACGTTAAGAAACACAATAAACCTTTACTATCACATGATATCATTACAAACTGTTCTCGCCAGACACAGTTATTACCAAGTCCGATAAATACGTCGCCTCCTGATTTGTCAAATCAGACAACAGTTTTGACACCACCAATCTCGACCATGTCGTCCAACGAATTGCTTACATTATCCAGAAAAGCTCGTTTCAATGATCTACCCAGTTTTTCCGGTCAACCATCAGAGGACATCGAACAATTCTTGAAGAGAATTACAAATTTAACTAAAACTGACACTGACATAACCGATGCTCAACGTCTTGAAATTGTCAGGGGAAAGCTGTTACAATCGGCCGGTACATGGTTCGACGATCAAGAATTTACCACATGGTTTCAGTTTGAAACGTTCTTTCGGAGTCGATATTCGTCAACCATGAAATCTCAAACAAAATTTAGTGAATTACTTCAACGAAAACAACAACCTGATGAACCCATGGCAACGTATTTCAATGATATGGTTTCCTTGTGTCGAGAAGTCGACACAGGTATGACTGAGAGGATTATTGTCCAACATCTTATGAACGGTGTTCGTCCTGAATTTCGGAAGCAACTTTCTCGCCATGACCCCCAGATTGATCAAATTGCAACGTTTTTGACCGTGGCAAAAAAGGAACAAGATATCCATGAACAATTTGAAAAATTTCAAGAAATGAAAATTCAACCCCAACAACCATACTTCTTCATGAATCCGGAATCAACAACCCTAATTGCCGTCATTCATCAACGGCCATATCGACATCCAAATCATTCCAGTCGGGATTTACAACAATTGGGAATCGGGAGATCTGTCGAAAGACAGCAATCATTTATTCCAGGTTCTCATCATAAATTATTGAAATCATCAGAAATTCCACGCAAATCGACAACGAAACAACCCGTGATGGATCTCAGAACAGGTGGTCAACTACCGAACAAGAATGTTATGCACTCATCTGCTCACTTGAGAAATGGCATATTTATTTAAGCGGCACAAAATTCATATGGGAGACGGATCATCAGCCTCTGAATCGACACTTCGATTCAGAATATTTTTCTCTTCATATACTGAATAAATCAGCTCCGATTTGTCTAATTTATTTTATAGAGCGCGCGTGTCTACGTACGTTTATTTTATTCGTTTCGTACGCTAACCAATAGAAATTCAAGATGTCAGCCATCTTGAATTTCTATTTAGACATGTCTAAATTATGCTAGGGCACTTGCTTTGCTCAAAAATAATGCAAAAACGTGGAATTTCTTGTATAATCACTGAACAAAAGTTTTAATTACATTTTTTCCGCCAAATGCGAGAGAAACAGGCTTGAGCGCGCACGCTAAATGTGAATTTGGCGCTAAATAGTTCTAATTACTTATTTTCGCTCTTGCATACGTTATAAGAAGTTACCCAGGTCAACTGTCATGCCACATTCGCGGATCGATCGCGCTGTCGCTATAGCGATCGCTATGAACTCCCATCAGTCACGGCGTGATCGCTGTAAAGTCACGCTCTCGCGACAAGATCTTAGGAAGTCTTAATTTATTGAAAACTTTTTTCTAAGAGTCACGTCGCGATTTAACTATCACGGCGTGAACGCTATGTTTTCGCTATATCGCGACGCGATCGCTATTGAGTCGCGAAGTCGCGGCGGGATCTTGAAAAATTCTTATCTGGCGAGAAGAGCAGTTTTTAAGAGTCATGGGGCGACTGTTGTGATCGCGAATTTTAACAGACGTACTCTGCTTAGTCGCGCCACGACTCTTGTTGTAACAAGCTTTTCTTCAAAAGACTTACGTAGTCGCGTCGCGAGTCGCGATTTTTATCGCTGAGTTGCGGTCTAAGTAGAGGAGTTTTAAAACGTCGCGTCGCTAGTCTTGACTGTTCTGTGCTATACTTTATATTATCTTTCTGAACTTACATAACACACACATAGTGAGAAAAAGAAAGAACAGGCCACGTGCATGTGCGTTGTGCTCATGGTTACGTTGTTCTCTTCTTTTATCTTTAACCTATTGTATACACAATGTGTATGTTTTCCTTCAATAGTCATTTCTTTTTTGATATTGCAGTGTTAAGATCACTTTATCGTGTAGTCTATTGCAGCCATCCACTGCTTTTTTTAATTTTTTGTTTGAACATATAAGTTTGAAATATTAAATAATATATAACTAAAATTGTAGTAAGTACACAGCAATTTCAGTGTGTGGAAGCAGAAAAAACTAAGCCCTTTCGTTTTTGCTACATTTGTTACAAAGTTGAGCCGTTTTTCTCCTAACAGTTTCGAAAGTCAAAAACTGGGTTACCTTTGTCAGAAGATGCACAAAATCTAAGAGATTCGCCTATATATGTTCAATTAGCATGTGGACTGTGTTAAAAGATCTCAAAATAAATGCACTAAAGTGAGAAATGCACCAAATGGTTGATTATCGATCGTCTCTATGAATTTCCTCGGTGTAATATCGCTTTGTTGTTGGTGACTTACAGGATGTAGTATGCTGTTCTGAAATAACTGTGTACTTGTTACGTGCATCATGTTCCGAAGAGTAAGCCGGTAAAACATGGTGCACCTAAGTGCCAAACTGGATGCTGACAAAGTATCCTTCCTCCCTGAAATGCAAACCTCTGATATTACTCTTCTTCTGCTGCTTATCTTTCTGTTTTACGCTAAAACGAGTATAATGGCGAGAATGAAAAAATTCACTCCGCGAAAGTAGGACTCATGTAGCGATGATAGGAGTCACGTAGCGATGAGAGGAGTCGCGTAGCGATGATAGGTTTTTCTCCATAAAATGTAGGACTCATGTCGCGACATAAGGATTCCTATAGCGAGAATGAAGATTCGCTCTGGTTTAATGGATAGAACGCGGGACTCATATAGCAACTTAGCGAGTCACGCCGCCAGTCTAGCGAAACTATAGCAGAAATTCCACTTCATCGCGAATTTATAGCGATGGCGGTAAGAGCGTCACATTTAGCTACTAGACTGCTATTCGCGTGACGCGTCCACGCCGTGACTTTTCATCGCGAGTCACGTCGCGATTTTTGCAAGATAGCTGACCTGGGTAGCATCCAGTGGTAGCATCCAATAGATGCTAACTTCAGCATTCGTTGAAAACCAGCATCCAGAAGAAAAAATATGGAAGAGGCCAATATGGCCACCGAAAAAGTATCTTTTTTGAATTAAAGTTACATCACATACGAATTCGCCGGGGATTTTCAAATTTAAAGAGTGTCGTTGATTTTATGCAAAATTGGTGATGTTCTGAAAAATGCAAACCCGTTTTATGAAAAACGTAAAATTCCTGAAAATCACATTTCTAAGAAAGTAGAAAATCACTGGTGAATTCATATATGGACAAATTGAAAATCGTTTTTTATTTTCTATAACTTATTTTCAAGTTTACAGTGCAGCTATCATGAT